GAACTATATTCTCAAAACGCGGAGCACATTTCTTGCCGAGGAAAAATAGCGGAGTGATACGGACCGCGGGTACTACTTTCTCTAAGGACACCATTTGTGTTGCCAGCTGAATCTAAAACGTGTTGTATAGTGTTTGAAAGACTTATTATTTATATGATTTATAGTGACTGTAGGAAAAATATAATGTGTAACACGAGTGAAAAAGGCCTTTGCTGCACTCGAGATCATTCCGCACTCGCCTGCGGCTCGTGCGTAAACATTGCTCTCGTGTGCAGCAAAGTGCCACTTTCACCACTAGTTACACAAATAACTATTACCTTAAGCAGAAAAATGCTAAAACTTGTAAAAAGTTGATGAAAAACACTTGGTCACAACAGTTCATATGCGTCTTACTTTCCAAATTGAACCAAGATGGCCTCCGAGGCTGCCACTTGAGTTGAATACTTATTAAACGCTTCTCCGCTAGGTTACAGCATCTTGCAACAAAAATAATATAGCTATCCCGTTGTGCCCCGACTTCCCCTAACACTTAAAACTATTTCTTATCGAATAACTTACATCTATTGTACGGGTTGTGTCTGCCTTTTTGACCACTTTTGCCTAAATTTTTTGTCATATTATTCAAGACAGACCAACACAGGTTCATGAGATTATTTTCACACATGTTTTTCAATTATTCTATACTATACAAAATAATAAAAGTGTCCCGAGCAGCAGCCTAAATAATACTATGTAACTTACCCAGATAGTAACATTAAAAAATGCCCAAACACGATACTACAAAAAAGTTCAGGCCAGAGCCATTTTAATGCGCCTGGATTGTGACATTTATTAATTCGGCTTATATTTCTCTTAACCAACGGATTATTCATCTGCAGAGGAAGTTAATTGTGCTCTTATCGTGTCTAATAATATCCAAACACAGAAACCTTACCCAAAATAATACCTTGACAGATGATTTGCAGTGGCCTATTACAAACCGTGGTCAACTTAACTTGCTCTTAAGTGAGATTTTTGAAAATAATACTGCACTTCAACAATTACTATTTAGGAAGCTGCTGTCACAGGAAGGTCATGTTTTCTTTAAACTAGACCTCATCAGCCTTTATAACATTCGTTGATTAACAACAATGGATGTAAACGTCTTTATTCACATAAGAAATAGTATTTGCTTTTTGGAAATGCAGCATTGCTTTGTCATTTGCATTATTTGTTGCCAATGAAGCTGCACGAACATATGAACGAGGCCCCTAACAGTTCAAGAATAAAAGCCAGGTTCACTTCAAGTATATTCCACTACACCTAACATTCAAGGAAAATTAAAGATTTATGTAATTGATAAGGCTGAGACAACTGACATCCGCATGTCATGCAATTCCAGATTTAAAAAAACAGTAACCCAGCGATCAGTTTATCAAAATTATGCTAGAGGGTTATTCATTTTCACAGAAGTAGGCCTACGGTATTGTTATATATTTTCTATTTGCATTCCTCAACAATCATATGTTATTTTAAATATTTATTATTCCTGATGTTTTTACTATTGTGATTATGAAAACATTGTTCTCAATACAAGACTCATTTACAACACCATCTTGAAATAATTTATTCTATACTAATTATCTAATATTACTTCAAGTATTTTTAAAGTGGCGACGAGGAAAACTGCAAGATGGACCAGGAACAATTTCAACTATTTCTACAAACACTTACAACGGCTCTTCAAGGTATGTTTGATTCCCAACCATCAAAGAATTTAACACTGATTTCAAATTTTGACAAGTTTGACTGTACACAAGAAACGTTTTCTCTATACAAAGAGAGATTCGAAAACTACTTAAAGTTGAAAAACGTTTTCTCAGACAAAGATCTCTGTGCCCAGATATTTATTAATAGTCTAGGCTCTTCTGGCTACGACTTGTTTTCTACATTATCGTTGCCAAATAAGGTAACTGAGCTGAAGTATGAAGAGCTTACTGCCTTAATGACAAATCACTTTCCTGCTCAAAACGAAATTGTCGAACAACACAAATTCTTTTCTCGGGTACAACATTCTGATGAGTCAATTTCCAGTTATGTCATGTCCCTCAAAAAGCAAATGTCGACTTGTAATGTTGCCTGTTCTACTTGCAACGCTTCTGTTTCTGACTTATTCCTCAGGGCACAATTCATACGAGGAATTGGGGATTCTTCCATAAGGGAGAACCTTCTTCAACAGAAGGATCTAACTTTTGACTCTGCTGTAACACGAGCTTTAGCAATTGAAGCTTCAAAGCTGAATTCCAATGCCATAGACGAGTTTTCGCAGCAGTCACAACCGTCTTACAGCAACGTAGGTGTCAACAAGGTGGCAGTACATTCGAAAAGGCATCGATCGTCAGCTAGATTCAGCCATCGTTCGTCAGGCGAGAGCAACAGTCGTTCTTCCGACAGCAGTCGCAACAGCTCAATTTCTTCTGCTACACTACAAGGACATTATCGGCTCAAAGAACGAGTTGATTTAATTGCTCTTGGCTTGAATGGCATTTGTCTTCGGTGTGGCAAAAACAATCATACGTCACATCAATGCAGACTGCACAGATCTCGAGTCCGCTGTAATGCATGTAACAAAAAGGGCCACATTTCGAAGGTATGTATCAAGTCTCTACTATCTAAACAAAGTGGTTCAAAATCAATCAAAAAATGATAACCAGTCCGTGGAGTCAGACGTTGATGATATTTATGGCATAGGTCAAATTGGAAACATTAATGACATACACCTGTCAGACACTGATAAGTTTATAACAACAGTTTTTATTAATGACCGGCAACAAAAGTTCGAGGTTGATTCAGGTTGCGCCCACACTCTACTTCCTAGAGGAGACTTAAAGCGTTTAAACATTTCAATGGACACTATAATACCAACATCTGTCAAATTTCGCTCTTACACAGGGGAGCTACTTTCTCCGCTGGGCATTGCTTCAGTAAGAGTGAAAAGCAATGGGACATCAACCGTCGAACAGTTATTTGTTGTTCCTGACGGATACAGTCCTCTTTTGGGTCGAACATGGATACGACACATGCAAATCAACCTAAGTAAGAAGAAATCAGAAAAGGATCAAAATCATCCACAGAAGACACATGTCAGAAAAATCCAGCTGGAAAAAGTCTTCCACCAAAAAGAAAGAAATTAGTGAAAACATTGAAAATGCAGACTTGAAATTTTTTCCTCCGTTCAACACTACCAGTTATTCGTCTACCAGTCATTCATCCACCAGTCATGCATCGACCAGTCATCAACCAGACACAAGTACATCTGTATATTATCGACCAACACCTTCACGACGACCACATTAATCAAGACAGATCAAACAACCGACACGATACACGCCTTGAACACTTCCTCAGTGCGGAAGAATCTGTTATATATTTTCTATTTGCATTCCTCAACAATCATATGTTATTTTAAATATTTATTATTCCTGATGTTTTTACTATTGTAATTATGAAAACATTGTTCTCAATACAAGACTCATTTACAACACCATCTTGAAATAACTTATTCTATACTAATTATCTAATATTACTTCAAGTATTTTAAAGGTATGATGAACGACGTGACGAAGGAAAAATAAAACTTACACCGCTTTAGGGTGGGGGCTCCGTTTGAATTAAGAACGTGCCTTCTCAACAAACAGATATTTTTCATAAAAAAGCATAAATTTAAAAATCTGCATAATACTGATGAAATTGTGGAAGTGTTTACCACAAAAGATCCACCAATACAATTTTAATACTAATTTTAATAAAGGTTCCTCCAAAAGCATTTGTCATATATTCCTGCAAAAGAAGAGAGACCAGTTAACAATAACTCCTATTAGCCTACGTACTGTAGATATAAGAAATATGTTGTTCATTGAATGATTAACCATATTTTGTAACTAACGCAATAGACATTATTGTTTTTACAGTTGTTTATTACTCATTAAACAATGCTAAATGCTCAATTTTTCTATAAATTCACTCTATTTATCACAGATTGATGAATCAGCGTAAGCATTTAAAGCAACGGTCGATTTCGACATGTTTCACCTAGTTTATAATATTAGTATATGATTAGTATGATTATTTAATTAAATTAAATAGGAAGTCGGACTACTTCAATTTTTTTCTATAAATAGTAAGTTGGGTGAAATCAAAGTATTTAAAACAAACTAAGCAAGTTCTCATTAAAACAAATCACACAATTGTATAGATTATAAAATAATTCTATTGTATAGGAAATAAATATTTGTGTATCAAGAGCGCAAAGTACGTCATCGCCGCTCGAGAACTGTAGATGGCCAATACTGTACACGTCATACATTTCTAGAGCGACAATGACTGTTTTTGCTTTTAATACACGCAAGACTTTTCCTACCACCATAATTAACTTACAATAACACACAAATTAACTTTTTAGATGTATTTAAAATGTCAATTAGGTCAAGTTTGCTTTTTTAGGTTATGTTATTTGCTTACGGATTGTTAACAGATCCAAACAAATTTGAAAAAATATTGAAAGAGTTTTTAATAAATTTAGCAATTTATTCTTTTGATGATTTTTTTCACCTCCCTCAGTCGCTATGATAAATTATCTTACTAGATTTGTAAAATGTATTTGTTGTTTTTATAACCATTCCTCATGTTTTGCTGTTTTTTATCCTGTTGAACTATTTTGACACTATTTTTATTGTAATTATTTTGACACTATTTATTGTACAATGTACATAAAAACGAATAAAGATATTTGAATTGAATTGAATTGAATTAACTAACTATCAATCCATAGCTGTGGTTGGTGTAGAAACGAAAACTGTGAAATCAGCTTATTTTTGCTTGCTGTTTGCAGGTATGGCAATGTGATCATTTTCATGCACTGGTAGGAAAAACACATTTTGGATTCGGTACATAACTCAAGTGATAAGTAGTTGCTAAGAGGACACTGTTAATTTTAGTTTTATTAATTGATATTTTTTCAGGTACACATATAATGATTGCAATAATTGTTTGGATGCTACTGGAAGAGTACTTCAGAATGAAAGCCCTCAAGTATTCAGCTAAATAACATAGAACAGCAAAATGCTAATCAAACCAAGTTACTACAGTGATTTAATTCATTATCTTAACATAGACCTGCGTGTAATTTTATAAGCTGCATAATAAACAATGGTTGAAATATATATATATATATATATATATATATTAATTACTAGTTCAAAAAGTAAAATAAATTCAGTTGAAAATAGTTCTATAATTTTATTTTATACTGTACTCATAATTAGTTGAGATATTGTTCACCTTCAAAGTGTCTCCTTTGTTTTTAAAGCTGTTTTCCACTTTGTAAGTGACTATACGATCTTTTGTATATCTAAAGCTATGTGTACTGTAATATGTAAAAATTAAAATGTTATAAATTTCTATTACACAATTGTTAACAGTGGTTTTATTTATTTCATTGCTGTACACAGAATAGACTTCCCAAGTAATGGAAAAATTTGAAGCAAAAAAAGTGGTGCAATCTGTTGAGATGGTCTACAAACTGATGATAATATTCTGTGTCAGGTGATAAATCGATCAGCCGTTTGCTATTGATACTACATTGATTTTAATTAATACTTAACTTAACCCAATACACTAGTACCCTATGGTGGGATGGTCCTGAACTTAATCTCTTTTCTTGGCTTCAAATTTTAACATTACATGGGAAGTCTATTCTATCAAATTTATGTAAGATTGAGAAAATCTGCAATCACAGTAAATATTTGAACATCTTCCAAGATCATGGTTAAATCGAGAACATATTTCGAAGTCTCGGCGAAATCCTGAATATCTTCCATGGTCATGGAGGTTCATCAGATTTGTTATCAAGGCTACGTATATTACAGAATAAGAATTTGTGAGAATCATCAAAGACCCCGGATTTTATTGGTTTTGATTCCCTAAAAAAGTCTTTGTGTTAAAACTTGTAGGACGTTTTGGAATAAATTGACTCACAAAGGTCCCTTTGGGCCAGAAGTCAGCCTTCCATACCTTAGTCACTGGATGAGACACCTACCTTAAAAGATGCATACTAGGGATACCTTGTAATTTGTACTACATTAGGTTATCTGAACTAACCGGATATGGTATTGAGCCGAGCTATTCTATTTCATTGTTGTGTAGTTCATAGTATTGAATCTTGTAAATATCATTGTTGATTGTAAAGGGGGAAAAAATTTGGACTAAATTAACTATGATTTTTTTTTTATTTTGAAGTGGCGGAATATTTATACTAATTCTTGTATTGTTTGTAAAAAAAAAATCCAGCAAATTTAGTTATAGGATGTTAGAGGCATAATTTGGTTTATTTTAATTGTTTGTAGTGGTAACATTGTTTCTTTTTTCATTTCCCTCACAATGTTTGATTTCATTCATAATTCTGTATCTTATGGCAGGCAGATCTAGTAGACATTGTAAGTACAAAATATTATTATCCATTATAATCTAGGAAAGTTAAATCTGAAATTAAAATTTGTATTAAAAATACTATTGAACATGGATATGGGAAAATACTATTCACTGTTTGTTAACTTCAAATTCTAAAATATGTTAAATTAGGTTATAAGTATGTTAACTTGCAAAAAGCACATTGTACGAAAGAAAATGGTAATTGAAATTTATATTTAGAATAGTTATATTAGTAATATTTTATGCATTTGTATATTTCTTTTACAGACGAGTTCCTGTTTTAAAATAGAGATCTACGGAAGGGCACCATGCCATCTTAATGTAAGATTGTTTCAATTTAATAATTATTAAGGACTGAGATACAGAGGTATAACTTAACTAAATGAAAAGTATATATTTATTGTGAATTCATTGCTTTTATAAATAAAATGTCAGTGGTGCACATGAAAATGAAATGTCTTCTTTTCAACATTGGCTAAATCCTATTGAACTTATATTGTTCTGTAGTATAAATTATTAAATTTATACTTTTTAGTGGACCTTACGAGTATACATGGAACATAGAGCATGGAACATGGAGCATGAAACATGGAACACAGGACACAAAACGCAAAACATAAAACATAAACCCTAACATAAAACAAAAAAACACTAAAACACAAAAACAACGTAGAACGTGGAAAATTGAAAGTGGAACGTGGAACATGGAACATGGAACATGGAAAATGGAACATGGAACATGGAACTAGAATATGGAACATGGAACATTTAACATGGAACATGGAGCATGGAACATGGAACTTGGAACATGGAACATGGATAATGGGACATGGAACATGGAACTTGGGACATGGATGTTACCTTCCAAAATTTTATTTATACCTCAGCTGCACTCAGTAGGTGAGAGGGTTGGGTTAGGAGTTGAATTTCATTGCTCAGGTAAGGAATAAGCGCCACTTGTTTTTTTTTAAAGATTAAGGTGAAAACAAGAAACCCCCTTTTAAATTCGAATACATATCAATTTACTCAATCAATAAATCACAAAACACAGTTTTTTTTATAAATGTGAACCTTTAATTCAGAGCTCATAAAAGTTACAAAGTATTTTGTTACTCAAAAATATTTCCAAACCCCTAAGCTTATGACTTGCTTCAGAATACAACAATTATAATATAATAGCAAGTAAATACCTAAATTACAAAATATTTTGGACGTCCTTCTACTAAAGCCTATATTAAAATCAGAAACCCTTTCTTACATGTTTTAAGTAGATAAGAGAACAAATGATTATTATACAGGGTGTCCCACGAGAGGTGTCTCAAATTGATTACGGGATAACGGCTTAACGTACAAGGATGAAATAAAATTATTTCTCGCTAAATCGACCCCAAGGAATAACGTAAAAATATTTTTAACTTTTTTCAAATACAGGGTGTGCCAAAAACTGAGGGTCACTAGTTCGAATCTCGGAATTTTCAAATGTAAACATATGTCATGTTATACATCATTTTAAAGGTATTTGATGAACAAACATTTTGGCGAAAACCAAAATTAGTTATCTTTTTCCGTTTCAAAATGGCGGCAGTTTTTTTGAAAGAAATCTATATTTTTTTAATACTCTGTATTTCCTATACCAATGCATTTAGCACTTCTCCGGTTGCATTTTCTTACTCGTTATGAAATTAGCTTTACTGTGATATGCAACAAGTAACGGTTTTTTGAAATAATAAAAATTCCAAAAAAATTTATTTTTGAAAATTTGCAAATGCTCATTGTTCAAAATTTTCAAATAGCAACATATGTCAAGTGGCACATCATTTTATAGGTTTTTCAATTCCTAACAACTTTGTAATTTACACTTACTTCGTATCTCTTTTAGTTTTTGTGTAAATAACAAAAAACCTAATTTTCCTATATCAAATGCATGTTATTTGGGTTTGACATGGTTCAACACTAAATGAAATGAAGCCTTTAGTGTCAAACCCAAATAACATGCATTTGATATAGGAAAATTAGGTTTTTTGTTATTTACACAAAAACTAGAAGAGATACGAAGTAAGTGTAAATTACAAAGTTGTTAGGAATTGAAAAACCTATAAAATGATGTGCCACTTGACATATGTTGCTATTTGAAAATTTTGAACAATGAGCATTTGCAAATTTTCAAAAATAATTTTTTTTGGAATTTTTATTATTTCAAAAAACCGTTACTTGTTGCATATCAAAGTAAAGCTAATTTCATAACGAGTAAGAAAATGCAACCTGAGAAGTGCTAAATGCATTGGTATAGGAAATACAGAGTATTAAAAAAATATAGATTTCTTTCAAAAAAACTGCCGCCATTTTGAAACGGAAAAAGATAACTAATTTTGGTTTTCGCCAAAATGTTTGTCCATCAAATACCTTTAAAATGATGTATAACATGACATATGTTTACATTTGAAAATTCCGAGATTCGAACTAGTGACCCTCAGTTTTTGGCACACCATGTATTTGAAAAAAGTTAAAAATATTTTTACGTTATTCCTTGGGGTCGATTTAGTTGGAAATAATTTTATTTCATCCTTGTACGTTAAGCCGTTTTCCAGTAATCGATTTGAGACACCTCTCGAGGGACACCCTGTATATACACCATACACCAATATAGAACAAGTCAAGAATAACTTAAGCTTAAAGCCATTAAATAATAACTGTGCAGTAGCACGACACAGTTCATAGGTTCGATGACCAATTACTCAGCTGGAAAAACTGTCCCAGAGAATCACAGCACAAGAAAATTGGAAAAACATAAGTGTCTGACCTTAAGTGTTGAAGCTTAGTCACCACAAGTTATGAATAATATATCCTAGGGTCCAGGTAGATTATTGTTGGTCTCAATTTACAACCTTCTAGAAGTTTCCTCAATAAGTGATAATCTCAACAGGGTATACACTCAAAAAAGCCTGAAAATGTAGTATACCTAGCATTAAACAGTGTCATACAAGTGCAGTTCTGTGAATCCTGAAATATTCATTTATACAATGTGTATGGAACAAAAACAATATAAATTGATCTTTGTAACTCATAAAATATTAAATTTTAACATCATTAATAATATTATTAATAATTGTTTGTAAGTAGAATCAATTAAAAGAGTTAATATTACAAATTCAATAAGTACCTTTCTTTCAGCAATCATATACTACTGTAGTAAAACATCTCAATTATTGTACTCGTAAATCAACATTTATAATAATTATATATGAAATAAAAATTATATTTGCAAGGTTAAACAGTGAGATTCACATAATAATAACTGATTAATCACAAAACTGAACAAATTTAACATGTTACTTTAATTTCCATAAATTATTGGCATTACCGTTACAATTGTAAATAAGAAATTATTTCTTTACTACAAAACTAATGTACACCCTTTGTATGAACCAATTGGTCTACAGAATAAAATAACTTATAATATTATAGCTTTTGTAGTACCTAAGACAATTGTGTTTGTCAGGCCTTTTAGTATGAGATTCATGTGGTCATGGGAAATAATTATTAACTACTCCCAAATCGATAGATGTAGCTTTATAATCAGAATAACAAAATCATAGTTTCCCAACAAAATAAAAAATCCTTCTAAAATATACTAAATAAATGGGTAGATCTTACTTTAATGCGGTAGTCTACATGGGGCTGAATTGGCACAGCTAAATAAGGTTATGTTTCCATCAACAACTGGAACTCGCCTGAAAATTTTACCAAAAAGATTTAATTCTAAGCTAAAACTAAGATTTTTACATGATTTAGGCTACAGTTGGAACATACAAATTGTTTCATGTCGAAACGAAAGTAGTTACACATATTTAAATTCAAACAGTTTACATAGCCTATCAGATAAATACAAATTGATCGAGATTCTTGAAAACTACCTACATATTTCTGAAGTGAAAACAAATCATTAAAGTACACAAATTATATTTAATTATTTCTACTTAGGCCTACATTATCACGAGTTATAAATTATAATATTGTCAAAGTGCCAACCCCTTTCCTGACTGATACAGATTCAATGCAGTACCACGATTTTCCGGCTAGAACATCTACAATCAATGATACCACTACAACCAAAACAAAACTACTTCCATCAACTATAGGTACTATACAGGGTGAGTTTCTACTAAGTGCGTTAATTTTTACCAGTTATTCTACTCACTAAAAGGAACAAAAAATGACAAACGATAATTTTCCATCCCCACCCGTTATGCTGTAATGGTTGATTATGTGAATTTTTAAAATTACCTGTAGTAGCTTCACTAAAACGAGCATAGAAATTAAGCCAATACACGTACAACATAATAACTTATAAAAATGAAAAGAGCGTTAAATTTCCTACAAAACCATTGCAACACCTTTAACATACATCCATATTTTCACCGTTAAGTATGTCTCACATAACATAAAAAAAGAAGTTTCAAAATTAATTCTTTACAACTTCAAAGTGGTTTTACAACTATACATACTAATGTGATGTTTTGTCAAATTACGTAAAAAACTTTCCCATTTAATGCCCTTTAAAATGATGTAACCCATAAGGTTATTGCTGTATTAAAAGTTCGAAAAATTAGGTCAAAACCGCGTCAAGGTAAGAGTTTTCGGAATCAAAACAATGAACCAAATGTAATACAGTATCTGCTAATTTCTTTGCTATCTTATAATCAGCTGAAATCTTAAATCAGCTGTGTGTTAAACTTTGTTTACCTACGACCGTTATTTAAAGTAGCCATTTCAGTTCAGTTCTTAGAATTGAAAAGTTTCACTTAACAGCTGTTTACTTTCATATCAGCATAGTTTTTCTCATATCAACACAGGTAACGGACCAATTGAGGTTCAAGTATTGAGAGAAAAGAATTAAAATTGTAATGCTTCGAACGTCAACTAATCAGCTGATCAGATGACCAATTTAATTGTTGATCCGACTTGTTCATGTTGATACTCGCGTATTCTTAATTAAGTTGGTGGAAGTTAAAGCAAGGCAGATTACCCGATATTTGCCGAATATTGTACCTGATACAATATTATTTATGTTAAGAATGCTGCTAGCAATGACATATTTAACGAAGTTTAACAAACACGTAATTACAGGAAATCAGCTGATTATACAACAAGTCGTTGCATCACTTTCAGTGGCAATGACAATACACGAAAACATAACCTCTCTAAAAAGTTATCAGTAGTGATTGTTAGTAATTAAATCCAGATTGATATTAATTAAAAAACGGTCGTAGGTAAAGTAGTGTACGCAACTCGCGTTAATAGTCTTTACGACACTCGTAGAAGTTTAAATTTTCTACTCTTGTCGTAAAGACTCACTTAACGCAATCGTTGCGTAAACTACTATTACAAAACCAGCTGATTTCAATTGTTGGCTTGTAAACATTTAAATTATTAACTATTTCATTATTTTATAATTCTATGACAAAAATTCAAAATTAATTTGATAAAAATCGAGGTTGGGTTAGTACAGTTGTACAAATAAACCAAATGAATCCTGTAGAGTCTGGTTTCTGGATTTTTAATCAAAGTAAGTTTTAAAAATTTCCACCATTTTTGCTCTAATACATGTGGTCATAAATATGGTCTTTTTCTTTTTCGAAAGTTTCTCACTGTTGCCTTTAATTTTAGCTCCTCTTCAAGAAGGTTGGAAGCTTAAGTTCGATTTCTTAGCTCATTCGCTGTTTGAAGTAGCGTTCTGTAATTTTCCTGTTTGAGGTAATCTTGTAACAATTTTCGTGTACCGTGTACCACTTTAGCCCATTCATATATAACTAGCAGAGAACCCGTCCTTCGTACGGGATTGGCATTAACTCAAGCTTTGCGTTTGCAATGGGGGGGAGGACACAGTTTGAAAAAAAGTTGCTTCTTCAAATTGACGATATACTATAGTACTATATTTCTACCATAGCCATAATGTTCTACCACTTCACCTAAACGATAGAGAGAAATAAATTATTAAAGTTTCGCAAAATATCACAAATTATTCATGAAATTAAAACCATAAACATAACTGTAAATAATCCTACTTTGACAGTCCCCATTGTGTATCACAGATTTTTGGTATTAGTTCAAATTAGCTGTTTTCATAAATGAAAAAAAAATTATTTTAGTGCTGCACCCTGTTGGTAAATCTTATAACTTTTAATGCTTTTTCATATCATAGAACCAACTTTTTAGTTGAAACAGCTGACTAAATTCTTTAATTCCCTTTAAATATGAATACTCATAAGGTTAGCACCCCTTTAAATATGAATACTCATAAGGTTAGCATGGGGAACTAAAGAGCCACTGGGGCGGAGCCCGAACGGATTTTTGAGATAAGACTATGCCTATATGTTAATCGGGAATGTGAGCTATCATTATGCCAAATTTCAGCCAAATCCGTCCAGTAGTTAATGTGTGATTGAACTTCAAACAAACAAACAAACACACACACAAACTTTCACATTTATAATATTAGTAAGATTGAGACTGATCACCTCGATGATGGATTAACCAGTTGAAGTAGCGCGCCTTCAAATGTTTGGCAATATCTACCCGGAAATGTTGTGCCATTGCCTACCCTCGCCTGAAAGGAGCAAAAGAATTGCCGTTGAGCCAAAGTAGGTCAGTTACCCTCCCCTCTCCGCCTAGATCATGTTGAAGTTGAACGCTGCCGATGATTCATGAATCACGTGACTTTGGGGATTGTCGGTGCATGCAAAATTCCAGGAAGAGTCGACTGTAGCGATGCATTTGGACCTTAGTTGGAGTGGATAGGGATGTTGCGATACCACTGTCTTTCCGATATTTGGTATCGATACCGTATCGCAAAAAAGTATCGATACCGGCTCAGTATCGGAACTTAAGTATCGATACCGTCAGTATCGTATCCATTCGATACCAGTGACGTCATATTCTGATTCACTGATCTTCGATTAAAGTTCACTCGTTCCAGTACAGTGCAGCAAATATAGGATTCGAATTCAAGCTGCTAAAAACTACCTAAATATGTAAAACATTGATAAAATTAACCAAACATAGCCAACCTTTGTTTTCAATTTTACCTTCAAGTAAAAGTTCAAGTAGGCCTAAGCTTACCTTATGTTCTAGGCCTATAGATAATTATTTATCTTTTCAATAGACAATGTTATTAAATTACCAACGTAACACATTCATGTTTACCATCAGCCTAAATTTAAACAAGTTTTTTAGTTATATAACTTTCTAAAGTGCCATCTTTTTAGTTTATTTGATGTTAAATAGTCCATGGTTTCATTTTATTTGCCTAACACAACGTTGCTAACAATGACGTAATAAAAATAACTCTGCCGCCAAACCCGTAAGTTGTAAGATTGACTAAATATACGTCTGTAGGTATATATAGTCAATGGTTTTACTTATAGTTATGTAAAGTTCTATGAATGAATAGTGAATCATAATTTACTCAAACGAATATCTGGTAATCGCCACCACTGACAATCGCTGCCAACTCAAATTTTGTGACAATCGCTACCAGTCTCTACCTGCGGCCGTGAGTCACCACCCTCACCACTACGTGACGGCATACTTTACTCTTCTCCCTTCACTAACCCCTCTATTTATTGGGAATAACACACTTACTATCATTATTGCAGAATATAATGCCACAAGACAATTTTAATGTTGATCTATCCATTCCGTAGATGCATTGCAATGAGTTAATCTCAAGCTTTTGATCTTTCTGAGAACATAGGCAGGCTAGTGTATAAGTTAGCAGAGCATTTCATCATAGCGCATTCCGGGGGAACGAACCTTGCGAATGTTTTAGGACCAATTATGCAGTAGGGCCACGGTATTTCCTAAACCAAATCTATCTATAGGCCTATATATAATATAGGCTAAGCCGTTTTTTTGTTAATCGAACTCCTCTGTTATTATTCGCCCGATTTTCATGTTTGAGGTCTCAAAATAAAGGTTAAAATGTGTAGTTGTGCCCAACGGTATTAGAATTTTGATAAAGTCGTTGGTAAGGGCGTCAGAGGCCCTTAAAATCAGTTTTTTCCATAAGGATAACATGGGAGAAATGGTAATGAAATGTGAATACTATCTATTTGCAACAGATTAGGAAAATAGCTTGTACCAGATGAAAACTGCTGGAATTTTTGTGAATGGACTTTGAACTGGACTCTTATTTATAGCTGCGGAAAAGCCTACTGAGGCTGTTGTAGCTTTGTATGAAATGTATTCAGTTTAGGCCTATAATGTTTTGTTGTATGAATAAATAATAATAAAATAATAACTAATAATCAACAACAAAGTCTTGGATAAATAAGTTAAGCAGGTGAGCCAAAGGTGTACAATTGATCGTTTGCTTTCAGATGACTTAAACACCCATCTAGAATTCCCAACAGAGTTTTAAAAGAATATAGAGGTCAGGCAAGGACACATATTGATTTAAAAAAAGGGGCAGTGGTTTTATTGATGAGGAATATCGATACATCAAAGCCTCATTAATGAAACAAGTCTCCAAGTGACCAAAATAGTTAAACATTAATAGAATGTTAAGTCCAAACTGGAACAAGTGAGTAGAGAGGGGAAATATTTTGATTCCTAGGACAAAAATGTGTCCATCGGAAACAAACTTACCATTTAAAACAGAAAGATGCTAATTTCTGTTAGCTTTGTCATTTGCAATGACAATCAAAAAGTACAAGAGCAATCATTTAAAAGA